CTGCCCAGGAAAACCAACAGAACCTACCCTCGAGACTTTGGCGAAAATCCTACTAAAACCACACGTTTGAGGCCCTGAAGTGAGGAGAAGCATGGCGTCTATTGTGGCACCGTCGGGTAGTAGTAGTAGTAGTAGTAGTAGTGGTGGTAGTAGAGGTGTAGCAGTAACACCGGCACAGACGGCCTGCCGGTTGCAGAAAGAGCTTTTACTCGCAGCCCAAGGCTCATGTATGCAAGACTGGCCCTACAGTGAAGGCATCATTGTCCGAACAATTGGGAGTTATGCCGTCTGTTCGGTGCAATCAGTAGCTGTGCTAGCCTGGCAGATTTCAACAACACTGACTATCTGCAGACTTAATAAATCGATATACTCACGAATGGAAGCAGCAGTGCAAGCGAGTGTATGGTTGCCAATTACTGTTGTAAGTTAAGATACAGCTACAACGACATCCGACCCCATAAATTTCAATGAGCAGCTAGATCAGTACCAATATTCATGGCAGCAAAAACAGAACTGCTCGTAAAAACCATGACAATAATCATCATGCTCATTATCGTCATCAGCGTCTTCACAGTGCTCATCAGCATCATATCATCAGTTGACCACCGAGAAGAGACAAGCTGCAACGATAAAGTGGTAAAGATAACGATTATGAATACCAGTACATGTTCTGCGGATATCTCCTGAGAAGCATGAGACAACAGTAATGCTCATGGTAGGGAGGGTGTCAACAGTATAGGAGTCAGGTTGTGATATACATGTGAAGAGTGATTTCCAGTTCTCGATATGCAACCTTAAGCAATCAAAACGCCAATTGCAATTCATGCACAGTAGCACTGGAGGTGACAACACGACCGGAACTACGATCGCGATGAGGGTGACAACCAAGATGGTGGTGGTGGTGGTGGTGGTGGCGGTGGTGGTGGTGGTGGTGATGATGACCAGGGTGATGATCATGATCATGACAAACGGAGAACTGCCAGAAATAGCGGGGAAAGAACACCAGGGATGTCAGTGTTACAGTCCTTTGGAAAGCAGATGCTATTTCTTGCAAAAGCTGAAGCCAAGTCTTCAGAAGGTCTGGACTGTGTTTGTGATTGTGTATCTTGTTCCATTCAGCTTCCTGTGCCCCACTCTGCTTGCCCAGATGAGCATCGCCGTAGAGGCATGCCACTTGGCCGTGAATCGTGATGAAATTCTGATAGAAGCTTCAAGGCAGGATTTGGGTCCGGGATGGTCTAGCGCTTTGTGTGGAATGTTCAAACTGCCAGGGGACATGATGCTTCAAGGTTCGGGTAAGGTTGGGAAGCTTTGGGTATTGGCCAACTCTTCACTTGGTTATGTTGGCTGAAGGCTTCACGCGTGGCCCTGCGGGTGCAGTCTGAAGTGCAAGCCGGCCGACAGCCGCACCTCCCACTGTCCTTATGAGCCCTGAGCTCCCGCGTGAGACGGTGGCCGAGGCTTCGCCAGCACCATGTGTTGTGGGGAGATAGAGCAGCTGACTGATCTCGTGACTCGGCGAGCAGTCGCCTACATCGGCTTAGTAGCGTGGAGTCCGAACCGGTTGCATGGTGGCCTAGATGATGCTGAGGGCCAGGAATACGGGATCCACTTCGCTGATCGATGCGCTGACTCGAACCGGCCTTACTTCACGCGATTCCGAGTCTCCTAGTGTGTAGTGCAGAAGCGTGCAGTGCGTCATGTTGATCGTGGTGGCTCTCCCTGCCACTCTCATGAAGCTGAAACCACGAACATCTGAGGGGTTTCAGGCGCCCGGTGATCTGTCAGGCCCGAAATCACGTTGGTGTTGTGTCACGGACTTGCAAGCCCTGGTCAGAACGATCCCACGAACGAGAACGACGGACATGGCGAGGAGCACCATAGATGCAATCGTACAGCGATGCAGTCGCAGTGCAACGCATCCATCGACAGTCTCGTCAGCATCCTCCCGTCAATGCATGGTGAGCGGGCCAACGCCACGAACATCTCGTCGTGGAACCTCTCTGCCAGTGAGATGGGATCGATTTGCATGGTCCGGCTCTGAGACTAGAGGATGGAAGGTCGCGGGTCGAGTTGGAGCTGATGCCACGAACTGAGGCCGCCTGGGATGTGGAGACGTGTTTTTTGTCTGGCACGGAAGAATCGCGGCGGAAGCCATGACATGATATTCCATGGTCGAGCCCACGCCACCAAGGCTTGTTCAACCAGACCTGTTGCCACGAAGCGGAGAGTCTCCTTCCTGTGACTGGTCTTCAATTTGTTGTTTTGTGATGTGCCAGCTGTGGCTGTGTGGATCTCAGGCGCAGCTCCTCGAGCTCCACCCCCACGAGATTTGCGATGCAGCCGGACGGAACTACACGTCGGTGTGTGATCAGGCAGGTCGCTGAGGGCTCCGATCGACCGATGCAATCAACCTGCCACAGCCAGCACAAATTGTGGGCAAGTGGGGTGTGGCCATTGCGAACTTAACGGCATTTCCTGCCAAAAGGCCCATCCCCAGATCTCAACCTGACAGGGTCCTCACGACCACGACCACGAGGAGCGCGCAGACCTCTCACTTAGGGTTCCCCCATTGCCCAGTTGCAAACAACCTGCTTTGCAGGACCGATGCAGTCGGTGTGCTCGTTGCCCGCATTCTGATATCTTTCGTTGTCTGTGCCTGTTAGGCTTGGGGGCTTCGAGTGTGGCTTTGCCTGTACTGAAATGAATGCTGAGAACCCGCCACTGCACGACTTCGAGCATATGCTCAGCACGATGAACTTGTCGACGGCATCGGCTGATGAACTGGAACTTGCTTGCATGGTGCCTGGCTCAGTCTGTCAGAGACCTCACCCTGTAAGCCGCACACAGGCAAATCTGCTAGGATAGGCGGAATCTTGGCGCCCTCAGAATTGAGCCGTTGAGCTGAGATGAGCATCACTGTGGAGACCTGCCACTCGCCTGTTTACTCGCCCTTACTGGGGTCCAGTGATTCTCGTGTTGACTCGCAGAACTTCATGGGTTCAAGGACGAAAGCTCTCAGCTCAAAGCACCAACTCAGGCTTCGCGTACTCCCACTGTTGCGACCGGCTCGATGACCTGCTCCATTTGGAGCCTCGGCTCTCACATCGGTCTTGCCTGGGCTCTCGCCCTGGAACCAACGTGAATCTCCTTCCACCCAACCCTACAACCTTATGTTGCGAAGTCGGCATTGACATGTTTCGCCCTGTCAATGTACTTTCGAAATTATTCGGGTTGCAGAAAATCCCTTGAACCAGCTTCATCTGCGCTCCTTGCGGAGACATTGTGTCGCAAGCATCCGGTTCAGGGCTTCCTGCCTGTAGGGTTTCCTTGTCTGCCAGCCTGGGTCGCGCCCTTCGCTTAGCGATTGCGCTCTTCGGCCTTTTCTTCGCATTGCGACGCACGTGTATAAATTTAAGTGGTTGGGTGTTTGCACTTCCTAGAGTCCTAGAATCTAAAAGGATTTTTCTCCCAATTTGCCGCGCAGGCTTATTCAGTTACTCAACCTAAACTGTTTGAATGCCGACCTTGCGACCAGAATGCTGGGATACTGTAGAGCCTGCTTGTGCCAGCCCTCCGGCAACGGCAACAAGACAGACTTCAATTCTATCTGCAGCGGCGTTGGCTTTTGGCGGCCGTCCATTTGCGAGGCCAGTCCATGCACAGAATGTTCCGATTTGCCGTTAGAAGCCGCAGCTGCGCCCGGTATGCAAAGTCAGAGCCTGCCTTAGTGGTATGTCAAATCCACAGCCGTTTAGCATGAAAGTGATCGAGTGCCAGTGGCTAGAACGAACTTCCCATCGGCTCTCAAAAGGTTGATCTTAGGTCCTTCACAGCAGGGTAGTAGCAGAGTCGACGTGCAAGGAATGCAGACAAAAATAGAAACTGAACAGGATCCAAGCAAAATTTCTTGTTGATCAGGATGAAGCGGTGGCTCAGGTGCCTCAAATCTCCTGCCTGTCTTTTAACATGATGCCGTGAACGGAGTTAGTCCATCAAAGCGGAAGCCCAAACGCAGAGATTCAGCGCCTCTTGCGGTCAACAGATGAGGCTTTCAAAATTAGGCGCTGACCACAGTTTCTTGCACACCAGCCGCGATGGGCTTCACCGAGCCTTGAAGCTGCAAACTGTCCGAAGCATTGTTGCCCTGAGTGCTTTCAGCCAGCCATGAATAGTATCTCGATTGCTGCTAACAGTTTACGCTATTCCTACTATTGTTATTCTTATCGTTCTTACCAGTGGACCATTGTGATTACTACTGTACTAGTAGTGCTGCTGGTGTTGCTAAGGCTATTTTCCTTATTGCTATCAGTACATCCATTAGCTTTATCATTTGTATGCTTACTATTAGTATTTGTATTCATATTATCACGAAGGCTATGATTATTGTTGTTGTCATTATTTTTGCTAGCATGATTGTTGTTATCCGTATGAATATGTATGAACAAGTATGGATGAGGGTGATAGAAACAATATTAACAAGAAAAACACTAGTACTAACAATAAGAAAATACTAATACCAGTAACACTAGCAACAGTAAGAATAGTTGAGATAAAAATGATTGTTATTATTGTTTTTAACTTAGCATTCGTATTCTTATCAACAATCGTACAGTGTTAGTGTTAGTGTTCGTGTATCAATGTTAGTCTTAATATTAATATTAGTAGTGGTATGTGTATCAGTCTGAGTCTTAATCTTGGACTCAGTCTTAGTACTAGTTCTGGTACTAGATTTAGAATTAGTATTAGTATTCTTATTAGTATTGGTATTCTTTGTTTTGGTTATTACTTCGTGCCAATTGCCATGTAATTATGATTATTCATATCTTTACGCCAGTGGAGATCCCCAGATAGTGAAAGACAACACCAGAAGCATGCCATGTTGACCAGGACGTCACGACCGCATTGCTTGGGAACACACAGGTCGCAAATGGTTGCCGTGTTTTCCAGCAGTTACTCCATGCTTCCACCCACGAAGGACGACCACGCCGGCCATGTCGTCAACGACGGGGCCAGGAGGACAACCAGAAGACCAGCACGAGACCACCGGGAGCACCAGAATACCACCAGGACATTGCCGAAAGTCTTTCCCCCAGTACTGGCGGGATTCAGACGCGATGGAGAGCACGACGAAATCGCTTTCCACCAAATACTGGCGGCTCGAGGACCAGCGCGAAAGCACTTTCTGCAAAGTACTGGCGCGTCTCGGGTGCAGGCGACTTCTGCTTGCCCTTAGCTTGCGAGACTTAAAAACACCCGGCATCGTTTCTCCCAAGTACTGCCGCCATGCAAGGTTGTCGAGAGCAAAAACGCAACAAAAAGTGGTCCATGTCGTATTTACCATGAGTCTTGGCCCCGGGTGCTAGCGTCCTCTGTAAATAATAGATATAATAGGAGGTCAGCGTAAACTATGCACCGCGCTACAGCGGCATCGCGAGCATCCTGTGTTAGAAATAGGATACGGGGACCCGATATGCAGCATCTGCTGCAACTTGTGATCCCCGAAGGGGTACATAGTGTCTGTTTGCTGTCAAAATTTGTGTTTGATCCCTGGGGGCTTAAATTTTTGATATTGATTAAGTTTTTTCGATCCTGCCCCCCCCCCCCCATGCGCAACGGTCGATCTCCAGATGCCTGTTCTCAGCATTGCACAATGCATCTCCCACTGCGGCATGCCGTGCAGGCCGTTCATCCACCTCCGCACGAACACGACGACCACGACGACAAAGAAGACGGGAGAGACGAGGACAAAGCCGCTGGAAGCAGTCATGCCATCCGTTCGAAAGTTCAAGATTACAGGAGCTCCTCTACAAACATTCCAGAAACCCCGCACACATGAAACCCACTTGGTAGCTTTCTGTCAGGGCGCATGGCATGATGCTCCCTTTGTTGGACACTTGATGCATTTCCTTTGGCATGTGGTCCTGTCCTTGAGGACATGTGCAACCACACAGGCATGGAGGCCTGGCATGGCCTGGCCATAGTGGCAATGAGAAGATCAAACAGTGTTAGGGCCTGTGATGAGGTAGATTCGGCAGTTTGAAAGGAATCTGAGGCAGTACCCAGAAAACAAAACGCAGCCGTGGTTACCGTTTCGGCTGGTGCTGCGGCTTCAGCTTCTAGTGCTCCTGCTGCCGTGATCCCGGTGGTTGGCCGTGCCGCTGCTGCCGCTGCTGCTGCCGCTGCTGCTGCCGCTGCTGCTTCTGATATTGTTACTACGTAGTACGATGATGCAGATGATTTTGAAGTAGTGACAATGGTGCTCGACATCCTGCTGATGGGCCGTGTGCACTCCCATGAATTACGCATAATCGCGATTGTATCATAATCGTCATAAGCGTAGTTGCAAATTTGTCGCAGCCGTTGTGCCGAGCTGTACCTCTGTAATCATCACCACCACCATCACCATCACCCTGGGCCTCCTCCGCTCCGCCGCCGCCTCCTCCTCCTGCTCGTCGTCCTCCTCCTCCTCCTCCATCATGATGATGATCATCATGATCCTGCTCCTCCTCCTCCTCCTCCTCATCCTCTTCCTCATCCTCATCCTCCTTATCATCACCATCATCATCATCATCGTCATCATCATTATCATGATCATCATCATCAAAATCATCATCATCATCGTCATCATCATCATCATCATCATATTCATATTCATCATCGTCACCATCATCCTCGGCATCGGCATCGGCATCGGCATCAGCATCATCATAGTCAGCATTATCACCATCATCATCATCATCAGCACCATCGTCGTCATCATCTCATCGCCATCCTCCTCCTCCTCCTCATCATCATCATCATCGTCATCATCATCAACATCACTGTCATCATCAGCATCTTCGCCAGAGTCATCACCATTACCATCATCATCAACATCATCATCATCATCATCATGGCCATCATCATCTTCAGCTCCATCTTCACGTTCGTCTTCACCGTCGTCATCATCATCATCATCATCCTCACTCTCATCACCATCTTCATTATAATCCACATCACGCCTTTCTCATCCTCCTCATCATCATTATCACCATCATCATCATCATCGTCGTCGTCGTCGTCGTCGTCATTTTGATTCTCCACACTCCTCCTCCGCCTCCTCCTCGTCCTCATCCTTCTTCTCGTGCTCCTCCTGCTCCTCCTCCTCCTCCTCCTCATCATGATCACCATCATCTTTAGCATCATAATCATCATCATCATCATCATCCACTATCTTCCTCCTCCTCCTCCTCCTCCTGCTCCTCATTCTCCTCCTCTTCCTCCCCCTCCTCCTCATCCTCCTCCTCCTCATCATCATCATCATCATCGAAATCGTCGTCGCTATTGCCGCTGCTGCTGCTGCTGGTGATTGCCAGTGATGACTTTGTAAATGAGGATGTTGTTGAGGACAGCAGCGACATCGCAGACAACGTTGATGGTGATGGTGGTGATGATGTGCGTAAACGCCACTCCCAGACTACTTGTACTGAATCGGATGTCTTGAATTAACTATTGCCGATGTCGAAGTCACCAGTTCTTGCGGTGGTGCGGCCACTGCTGCTGCTCATGTTTCTGATCCAGTTCCCGTTTACTCGCGTCACCAGCGTTGTCATTTCTTGCGAATGATCGCGAGGCCTGCAACACCAGCATCCAGATGCTGAGCCAGTTCGTCATGAACAGCACACGGATGCTGGGTCTTGTTTCAGAGCCAGTAATCACGAGCATTGGTGAGAGGTGAAGGAGAGAGTACGACCGCTAGCTGTCACTAGCTGCGACCACTACTGTCGCAGTGACCGGACCCTGTTTGCTGGCAAGCACAGTCCCGGAGCCCAATAGATTGCTAAAGCAAGAGTAAGTTAGCAAGACCCAGGATGACCGTCGCAGTTTACCTCGGACTGCCAAGGAACGGAACCCACAACATGAGCGAGGATGACGCAGCGAGGGTCTGCGCAGCTGCTTCACAGATTTACGAAAGGTGCCGTGTGGCTTAGGGCCCGATGTTTGGAGCTTTCAATCAAGCATCCTATGCTACCCTTGCAGAGTGGTCGTGATTGCTTGCGCAAGTCTGTAAGTGTCGTTGCAATCGCAGTGCAAGTAAGCCACCTGATTTGCCAGCCCAGATGGCCAGTGGAGTTGAGATGTGAAGCTCGGTTGCATGGGAGCACAAGGATGCTGGTATATGATGCTCTTCGTGGTCGAGCTCCGCACGGTGGATGCTTGTACCGACGCCGTTCAGTGATTTGGAGTGTGTCGCACCAGCAAGGTATCCACAACATGAGCTGCTGCAGAGACGCGGAATATTACTTGCCAGCCCCTTTCACGCACGAAGCGAAGTCGGGGGGTGATGTTGAAGAGTGGCCTTGATTCGGTGAAGACTTCATGCCCAAACTCTGTGGCAGTTTGGCACCGTTATGCACGGTTTGCAACGGTGTATGTGCGAGTCTACTTAAGAAATCGAGTGCAAGAGCGCTGGTGTCCGAGAAATCGCTGATTGACATGGATGTTGAGCACACTTGCCGCCTTGGTGGCATGAATGCCACGCACTACTGCTCCGAGGCGGGGAGAAGCATCCATTCTATGCACAGGCTGTTGTGTGACACGCCCCTGCGCAGGGTGACGACGATCACTCGCACTCGCACTGCGACAGATCCGCCTTCGACATGTGCAGAGCCGCGGTGGACGAGCTCACAGACCTCGTCAACCGAAGTCGGTTGATTTCACACTTACACAAGCCGAACACCACCCACAACACCAGCGGGACGGAACATCACATGCACAACATGACGGGACACATGATGAATATGACCGTCCTGCACAACATGTCCATCGACGAGTTGGGCGAGATATGCTTAGTCCGGCACCCAGGCCTGCAGATGAGAGGCGCTTGAAGAGAGACAAGCGTGCCACAACACAGAGAGAGAGAGGGTTTAGGGTTTTTGGTGCCGCGTTTTTTTTGTACAGCTGCCATAGCTCAGATGGGCATCGGCATCGAGTCATGTTGCTTGCCTGCACGCCAAGCGCGAGCCTGATCATGTGCAGTAGGGACTTGGGGCTTCAAAAGGGGCCCTCTGTAGCCTGCAGCGCGCGCTGTGCCTCCATGAGCTTCTGTGCCAGCGGCTTCCTGTCAACTTCCCAGCACCAAGTGGTTGCAATCCCTAGGCCTTCTGAACACTACGTGCTGCGAAGACGCGGAGACAATTCTTCCAGCACTTTGGATAGTTTTGGTAGGTCAAGTCGTTCCCGAGTAATCTAGAATGGGAAGTATTTTGTAACATGGAAGTGGGTACAGCGTTGCAAGAGTTCCGCTGCTCAGCAGACTCAGGCCTCGTTGATGGGCGTGGATTTGTGGGTTGTCTGTGAGCATGCGGGCTACAGATATGCCCCAATTTGCCGACGTGGCGAGGCGGATCCGATGCGCCCCAAGAAATGCCCAATGTGCCCAAGGGCACGCCTGAGTTGCCCTGCAAGGAGCACATGCACTGCGAGCACAGGGCTCTGGATGCTTGCCGCGAAGTGGGGCACAAGATGGAAGAAGAGCTGCATTTCTTGGAATCTGATCCTGACCGTGTCTGTCGTGTGCCTTGGATTATTCAAGTGACCAGCGAAGATGAGCTGGTGTGACAACACAGCGTAAAAAGTATGCTAGCCTACGACAGAACATGGGATACGTCGCTGGTAGTGCAATTCTCGCTCCCACATGCGTTCTTTGCTCAGTTGGGCAACGAGTTCACTGATTGCGCCATGGCTTCGACCTTCAGTTGGTGGGGAGTTGCAGTTTGCTTTTCAACTGGGACTCGCCGCAGATGAGTTTGGCCTGGCTTTCACTGAGCTGGCTGGCTGAAGGTATCCGAAGCGCAGGATGCTGTGACGACCAGGAGGCCGAGCACATCGTTCCGGTGCCACGGCTTTGATTCACACCTTGAGCCGAGCCCAGCTTCGGTTCCGTGCGGCTGCCATCTTTCGTTTTGCGACTGATCTCACCATCTCTCCTTTCAAGGGCAGCACGCTCCAAATTCTGCTTATAAATGCAAGGAGGATGTGATGACCCGGCTGTTGCCCACCTGCGCGGCGAGAGGATATGTCTATGTTTGCGACGAGCCTCGTCCGGAATGCTCTACAAGTGTGGCGTCAGTGCATTGTGTTTTTCAACGACCACAGGACCGTCCGCCACACGAGGACGTCACCTAGTGTCCATGGTTGACTATCCCTTTCGAAGGGTGCACTGCTCTGGGGCCCAGGGGCGGTCCAGGTACTGCATGCAGAGAGGACCAGAGAGGCAAAATCCCAGCCCTGTCCCTGGAGGGTGAATGTGACAAGATGGCGAAGTTCCATTGCGATATGGCGCGTCTGAACATGACCATGGGCCTGGGCCTCTTCTCCGACGATGCGCCATTGGCGGCAAGCAGCTTTCAGAAGCAATCTTTGTTTTAGCATCCTGAGATGCAGGTTCTTCTGAGGGCTGTGGGCAGACATTTATTATGGGTTCTGGAAGCGCTGGCGAGTCTTCCGACATTGTGTCTCTCTCCAAGGAATCTATCGTGCCCGACTTTCTGCAAAAGTCATGCGAGGCTGGGTCAAGTATCAGTGCATGTCTTGCTCTCATTACACGGAAACGGCACTCAAATTTGAGCCTACTACTGGCTGCAAAATGTTGCAAAAGATAATATGCCTAGCAGGCTCGGACGCCAGTCGCACGAGCCTTCACGTGTCGTTCAAGTCGGCTGGGGATCCAGCATTCAGCGCCACTTTTCATCAGAGGGCATTGCAGCAGCGCCGCAGGTTTCACAGATGACGACGCTTTGCATCTTCGTCGCAGCCAGCAGATTGAGACATCATTTTTTTGCTGAAGCTTGGCATCTGTGCCTCTCAGATGTGCAAGACGACCACATTAGCTATTGTACGTCCTTGCAAAGGTGTGGAACTCTTGCCGGTATGCATTGTACCATGTAGTCTTGACTATGACGTGGGCATGGGTAGAACTGCTGCAGAAAGCCACGAGCTTGCAGCAGGAGGCTTGTACGTCTTACCAGAGTGAAGGCTCGAAATGGAATGCATGGAACTCGCGGAAATGAGGAGTCTCGCGAGTCTCTGGCCCTCACCCTGCCTGCTTCCCTGTAGCAGAAATCACGATTACCTGCGTTCAGGGCACCAAGTGCAGTGGTGGGTGACCGAGCGTAATTATGTGGAGGCTATGAAAGGGCCCACTGCTGCGGAGAGCGCGAGATGGAGTCTTGGCCAGCAGCGTCGGAGCTTCTGAAGCATGCTCTCGCTCGAAATTCTGTCACTAGCTTTGGGGCCCTTTGAGCACAGGAGGATCTGGGATCGATAAGTTCTATGTGCGAAACTATGGGCATGCACTTCTCCTGCATGAAGGAGGGGCAATAGGCGCTTGTCGGAGGCTGCTGATAGAAACCTTACTGAAGTTTCTCTTCTGTTAATGCTCTGTGATCTGTGACGCAGGACGACGGCGGCCACCATGGGCAGGAGGGAACTGCAAGTTTCTTGCACTTGGATGACCCAGCATCGTCGTTGAATTCTTGGGGCCCTGCACCTCGGCCCGTCTCGGGCCAGCAAGCTTGTCCCTGATTGCAGTGTGCTATGACGGACGCCCTGGCTTGCAGCCTGCAGCTACCTCCTGATGCCAGCGGCCGGGCTGAAAGCTTGCCTCGTGGTTCCGGGATTTGTTGGGCCCTGTGGTCTTTGGCGATCTCAGGCAGCGCGAGCGTTATGACGGAAGAGATGTGTCAGGCACGCGACTTTTGATGACTGTGAGATCCGGAGCCACCATTTCGAGCATGACCCCACAAGTGCGAAAGCTTTTGAGGCCGTCACCGGGTACTACTCTTGTGCCTTGGACTGTGCATAAACAGCTGCCATGCGGCGCCTGGGTCCTTCTTTCTCTGATGCCCCTCTGATGGCTTGAGGCCTGGAGCGAACTCAGTGCTGTGAGCAGTTTGGCTGGCCTCCTATGGAAGTTGCGTGGCCACTACACAGCTGTGATCTGCAGCTTAGAGCATTGCCTAGTCGGGTCAGCAACAGGCTGGAGAGATGGAGGATGCCGTGAAAGTGTGTGAGAATTTCGGCTTCCACGTGCCACACTGCGAGCAGGCGCAAGAATGATCACCCTTGCATTGGCCATGTCTGCTTGCTCCTGGCGCCTCTGTGTCACCACGGCTGCCATCAGGTGAGTTTGACTTTGTAAGATGGCCCCGAGCAGGTGAGCCACTGCCCTTGCGAGTCGGGCAAGCTGGGTAACAAGATCTGCGACTGGGAGTGCAACACTCCGGCGCATTCGGGCTGCATTGAGGCAAAGACCGTTCCTGCACGAAGGAACGCCAATGGCAAACAGGAGAAGTGAGCCAACCCGAGGTGTGGTTACGACAACGGCGACTGTACAAGCACAGGCCCTGGTGGCGATGGAGCAGCCTGGTTAAGACCGTCTTCGGTAGGATCTGTGATTCGCATGCAGAGACATGCAGGCAGCAGGTAAAGAGGTTTGGCTTGTGGGCTGTTTGCTATCCGAGGACAGACCCGAGGCGCCGTCGAGTTCCATTGCTTTTCAAGCCTTCGTGACTTTGTGCAGAGATCCGCTCGGCTCCCTCATTTCGAGATGGTCTTGTGTGGCAGGATTTTGTTTCGATCCATTGCGGAGATGCATGCAGCGCCTTGGAAGCTGATTCGGAGCAGCCAGCACAGGGTAATGATGCAGCAAGTCCATGTTATGGTGCACATGATTTCTTTTGCTGTGTTTGTGTTTGTGTGTGTGTGTGCGCGCGTGTGTGTGTGTGTGTATGTGTTTGGGAAGACGTGGACGCCCTGAGGGGTGGAAACATGGCCCATGATGACTTCTTGCATTCCATTCCTCCATGCAGGGATCCCAGAGGGCGTTCTGCATGGCTAAGCAGCAGAGCCATGAAGGGGAGAGGGATCAAACAAATTTTAGGAAGGATCAAACAAAAACGTTGCGGTTACTCGGATAATTGCTGTGCCCAATGCCGGCGGAGGGGATTGCTTTTTGCACTCCATTCAAGCACGCATTCGGGCATCGCCTGCCAGAGCCCGCCAAGCTGTCTCCCATCACCTCGACAGCTCCCTCACCCTGCGCATAGGCACGCAGACTTGTGCGGTGGATGTTTCGAACGGCACGTGCAGGCAGCCGTGGAGACATGGCCTCGCGCTTTCCCGCAAGGTCTGTTGGTTTTCCATGTCCCTACTGCAAGTCTCCCTTTCCGTGCTCACCATCGTCCAGCAACGCGGACTTTGCTGCAGTTTTTGGCTTCCCCCACAATCGTGTTCACCGCCCCTTGCCTTGTACACAGAGCCGGCAGGACCGAGTGAGCCCGGACACTTCGATCGCCTCATCCCGACATCACCTACTGGCTCGCTTTCCGCTCATCCGTTACTGCCGCGCGCGCAGACATGATTGTCCACGATGCAAGCATCCAAGACACGGCAGTTCCAATCAATCTCCAGCCTTCAGATGTAGTTTGCCAGCCGGTCCAAGCGCACGCGCTCTGCCTCTCTCTGTGCCTGACATGTGTACGGGCACGGGCGCTGTGTCGCCTCCAAGCATACCCCTGGCCCATCGCACACCCAGTGTTTCTCCGCCACAGCTCCAAAGTCTTCTCCTGCCTCTTGTACGCCTGCGATGGCTAACACGGGCACGGGCGCTGTGTCGCCTCCAAGCACCCCTCTCGCCCAGTGTTTCTCTTTGGCGACGGCGTGCTGTCAGTATCATGCCGATTTACATGCGGGCGGGCGAAGGCTTGGCTGTTTTCCCGTGTTGCTGCTTGGGCGCACGTGACAGGTGCCTGCGCCAAACCCAAGTACCACAATCCGAGCAAAGATGAAGAACTGCTCGCGTACAAAGATGGTATCTACAAAACCATGCAAAAGGCTTTGTCGCCTGCCTGCCAGAAACTCCTGCCACTGCTCGAGCGAGGCTTCCATTGCTTGCACGCGATTCCAACAGCTCTGTGTTCACGCCCTTCTTCAAATTCTTCGTGCCCAGCAGCCTGCCGCACACAAAGCTGCAACGCTTACTCGTTCCAAAAGCACTGCCTTGATGTCTGCACAGACGAAGTGGCAGCAGCTCGCTACCAAACAAACGACTGGGTCGGCCATCCTGCGCGCTTGCTGCTGGCAGATTGGTGGTGCAGAGTACAGCGTCTTCAGCCCGGTTTTGCGTCCGGCACGCGCGCCCAGGAATCCTGGCATCGGTACAAATTGAAAAAAATACATGGGCTTGCACACTGCCTTAGACAGCTTCGGTGCCAAACTGGCCCAACTTCTGCCTTCGCGGCTACAGAACTTGGAAGCCCAGGACACCCCCTTGTTGGACGTGCCCGGGGAACCTTTTCCCGATAAAGCCTTGCTCTACGATTCCAACTTCTTGACGGGGGAAGGAGGTCGTCTGTGTAACAGTTCCACAGGACCGGGGCTTACGCATTTGGTCAGATGGTTGGGGCACCACCTTTTTTGCGTTCCCGCAGACTGTGCAAGTACGACAGTGCCGCCAGGAAGTGAAACCACGCGCCGAACGAGGAAGTGCGGCCCGTCCCCGCCTGCACAGCTGCGTCGCTAGCAAAGGTTTCCTTTCGCGGACGGAGCATTTTTTGCAAGAAACACTCCTCAGCATGGGGCTCGGTCCGGACCCCCTTCAGGATGTCGAGCAGTTGCTCCGAATACTGTACAAGCACGTCCTATAGTCCTGGGTGGCGACGCAGCCACTAGGCAGTGGAAGTTGGAGCGGCGCCTTGGGGAATCCTTCCACATGCAAGCCCTGTGCACGTTCTGCTCGGACTTTTGCGTTCACGGAGCCTGCGAGCATGCCCATTCATCTGGGCATATCTCCTTGGCATCCACTGTCGTCCCAGTCCGTGAAAAAAACATCCGGTGTTCCAGGACGCCTCGGTTGCCGTTCTCCTGCCTGCAGCCTCTCGTTCGGCTCTGCAGCGTAGCAAGTCTGCTGCCCATGATGATGCCATGCTGCAACATGATGCGGTCTCCCGACGGTTGCAAAGTCTGTCCATGCAGCAATGGGCACCAGCTGTGCTGCATGAACAACTATATGACCTTTACGGACCTGCGGTTGGCACTCCCGGCTTCCATTCCCAGCGGCGATGTGTGGCGCGTGCAGCAAGCAGCCCAAAACCTGCCAGCGTCCTCCACCAGAAACTCACCCAAAGCCAGGTTTGTCGACATTTCTTGCAACGTCGCTTGTTGGTTTTATGTTGTGTTACAAGCGTCCTCTGGGAATGTGAAGTCCTAGAGGTCCGGGCACTAAGCGCACCGATTCGTGTAAAATGCAACCTCCTCGCGCTGCTTTCTGTCTCTGTCTTGCAAGGCCGCGGCGGCAACGCAAAGCCGCCCGCAGCAGAACATCCCGCTTTCCAATGTTATAGTATGTTATAATGTTATAGGCTACCGACTGCGCCTGTGTTCGTTTGCTCGTTTGCTTGGATGCCTTCCTAAGGCCTCTGTAGACTCAGGGTCTTTGCGGAATCAGGTCGGGCTCCCAGTTCGCGTTTGTCCACGTAGAACCAACCTCCGGTTTGCGCTTCGGAAGCAACTTTACCTGATCCCACTTTTCTTCTTGGTTTGCTGTCTTGTTGACGGAGCCTTGACATATATATATCTCTGTGCCTTCTGCGCCGGAACGCCGGGCATCCAATAGCGATGCTCGGAAGGCAATATAGCTTTCAGCAACACAACTACTTGGCAGCCACAGAACGCTGACCGCTGCGCATCTCGGCCTTGCAGCGACCAAAAATGAATGGCTGGGCGTCCGTGATTATGCACATGCAGTATTCACCCATCTGAGCCAAACCATCTTAGCGAACAGTAACCCAAGACGCGAACCACTGTTGCCCCCAAGTACTGGCGAGTTCCGGATCACGGCCAACATGCCTCCCCCTGTGTACTGGTGCTATTCCTGGATCTAAGCAGTGGTCCATCTGTTGGAATTTACAATGAAGCCGGCGCTCGCAGAAACGGTTTCGCACGGATCCTTTCGAGAACGCAGGCAGCAACGCGCCACAGGGGCCGCCGCATTCCTGGCAACTAATGCTGTTTCTGCGCACGCAGCCAGCAACTTTCCCTACACTTAACGTCCGAACCCTCTACGCTGTACCACGCTTTTTCTGGCTTTGACACCATAGTTTCGCACCTTGCCGATCCGGAACTATGGAAATTTCATTTACAGGAATCTTTTGATTTGTTTTTGATCCTTCCAATTTTTTTGATCGCTCTTGCCAACAACCGTGCTGGTATTTGCAGCAGAACCCAAACATCCTTCCTAAATTTTTTTGGTACCCCACCCGCCTGAACCCTGCTCGAGGATTGCGCGCATTATGCGAAATCGTTCGGGGCATTCGCTTTCACCACGGAGATGAATGGGCCGCACTGTGCGCCAGGCAATCTCTCGGGTGGGTTTCAGCTGGAGTTGGGGGTACTCCGCACTTCGGCTTGGCTTTCAGATTTGCGTGCCACGCCAGGCGATATGCAATGCAGCATCTACACGGACAGCTTCGGCTTTGAGTCGTCCTGAATAGTCAAGGTTACGCCCCAGCATGGCCCCCCCGCGAGGACGATGTTGTCATCTTCAATGCCAGCATTGGTGAGTGCGGACGGTTTGCTCTCGCGCGGCTGTGCATGCACTGGGCCATAATGTTAGGGTGCGTTTAATAAACCCCCCCCCGAAATTGTTTTGCGCGGGGATCTCTTGGGGCAGGGTTTGGGTGGGGGGGTGGTTATAATAAATTTGTTTCCGTAATTAGTCAAGTAATATTAA